CACGCAGCAGGATTTAGTCCTGGTTTAGTCCTGGTCCCGGTTTAGTCCCGGTTTAGTCCCGGTTTAGAGCTAGTTTTGACCTGATTTTAGACCTGGTTTAGACCTGGTTTAGATCTAGTTTAGACCTGGTTTTAGACCTGGTTTAGTCCTGGTTTAGACCTTGTTTAGATCTAGTTTAGACCTGGTTTAGTCCTGGTTTAGACCTGGTTTAGAGCTAGTTTTGACCTGATTTTAGACCTGGTTTAGTCCTGGTTTAGACCTGGTTTAATCCTAGTTTAGTCCTAGTTTCGACCTGGTTTTAGACCTGGTTTAGACCTGGTTTACATCTAGTTTAGACCTGGTTTTAGACCTGGTTTAGTCCTGGTTTAGACCTGGTTTAGAGCTAGTTTTGACCTGATTTTAGACCTGGTTTAGTCCTGGTTTAGTCCTGGTTTTAGTCCTGGTTTAGATCTAGTTTAGACCTGGTTTTAGACCTGGTTTAGTCCTGGTTTAGACCTGGTTTAGATCTAGTTTAGACCTGGTTTAGACCTGGTTTAGTCCTGGTTTTAGACCTGGTTTAGTCCTGGTTTAGTCCTAGTTTAGACCTGGTTTTACACCTGGTTTAGCTCTGGTTTAGATCTGGTTTAGACCTGGTTTAGTCCTGGTTTAGCCCAAAATGTGAAAACAGGAAAATACCACCATGTAATCCATTTATTTCAACAAAGTAACTGTAATCCAATTACCTCTCATTGAAACAGTAACTGTAACTGAATACAGTTACTCATAATTTGTACTCTGATTACGTTACTCCAGTACATGTAATCTGTTACTCCCCAACACTGGATAGAAGTACTTGAAATCAGTCTGACATGAGAGGAGTGAGTCCATTCTTGTTGAGTCATTAGTCTTTGTTGAGTCATGGAAGAAATTTCTCTCACAATTTTTAAGTTTATACAAGAAATTCAGAACTAGTAAGAACTGTATTTTTCTAACTCTAAGTCACACTTTTTTCATGGTTTGGGTGTTTCCTGCGACTTACACTCCGGTGCGACTTATATGTTAAATTTTTCACACTGACAGACATGAGAGGCTTTAGTCTTGTATACTTTTGTACCACTGTCACTTCACTCTACTGTGCGTGTCGGCTGCAGAAAGAGAAAGAGCCTCTGTCCTGTCTGTATCATGTCAGTCGATCTCACCATTACTTCTGTATCACTGACAATTTGAAATGTAAACAAACATAAAGACAACTGAAACCATCCTGTTGGGATTCAGAAAGGATGGAATAATTCTAACTGAAACTGACGCTGAGTCTGAAGACCTCCGGAGGTCACAGAGTTGCTCAGAAGTGACACCGAGGATGAAGAATTGAATGGATTTAGTGATTTGGAGTGAGATGGAGAGTTTGGTAAACTTGTTCTGTTCTGTTGTTTATGTTATAGTTTATCTGAAGAACTGTTCATATGTGATGTTAACAGTCTGTTGTTCTCTCTTCTATTGTTATTACTAGAACTTAACTTTGAACATGAAATGTCGGTTCCTGGTCTCTGATTTTATTAAATAAATTTACCCCAAAAAGTGGGACTTATAGTCCGGTGCGACTTATATATGTGTTTTTCTTCTTCATTACGCATTTTTTGGCTGGTGCGACTTAGGTTGTGTTCAGACTGCAGCCTGAAGTGACCCAAATCCGATTTTTTGGCCCCTATGTGACCTGTATCTGATCTTTTAATGACAGTCTGAACAACACAGATCCGATTTTTTCAAATGTGACCCAGGACACTTGGATATGTGCTCCTGAAACTGATACATATCTGATCTTTTGACATGTGACTTTAGTATGAACGGCCAAAGCGCATTTATCCACCTACACGTTATCAACAAGACACAAACGTCACTATTCTGCACTGAAGTAGGCGAAAATTGTTAATGAACTCTGTGTCACTGAAGTGAAGCACATCACCACTCACCACTCTTGGCTCCGTCTCCACATCCACACGTTCCTTTCTAACAGACGTCGCTGCCGCTGTCCCTACAAAACACCACAACCAAAAACCTCGTCCTTCTCCTTCTCAATCTCCTCCTTAAAACAAGTAAGTTGTTCATGTTCTGGCTCCGGTACAAGAGGAACTTTAAAATCTCCAGGTGCTCGATGCTCGTGTCCATGTTTGGACAACTTCTGTAAACACAGAGACGCTCGCTGCGGTTGACGTCGTCGTGTCTCCAGTGTCACATGTGGGACACTTTTGGGCCGTTTAATGTTCACACTGGAGTCACATACAAGTCACATTTAATTGGAAATGTGAACGACCTCGCAAAAACATCGGATTTCACAAAAAAATCTGAATTGAGCATTAAGCCCTGCAGTCTGAACGTAGCCTATACTCCAGAGCGACTTATAGTCCAAAAAAAATAAATAAATAGAAATCTGAAAACAAGATAAAGAACCTGATATTAGTTTTAAAATCTTGGCCAGATCAGAGAAACTTGCAGTGCAGACAGACTCCTACTGCAGAGTTACTCAAACATGTGAATGAAACAAAACACAGGTCTGGACTTTCTTCCATTCACATTTGTTGTTTTCAGTGACTCATGTGAGATGAACCCATCATTTTGAATGAAATGACATTCCTCTCACCTCAGACAAACAGAATTTAGTGCTTCACTCATTGATTCTGAAGAAATCTGTGATATTTTTCAGTCCCTGTCATTTTTCTGGTTTGTATTTTCTCTTAAGCAGCCATGTTTGTTTGGATACAGACGGACCATGCATGGCTAATGATTGGCTAATCCATCTGTCAATCACAACGAATTGAGCGTTAAGCCCTGCAGTCTGAACATAGCCTTAGTAAAGTACTGAAAAAGTGAGTATTCTGGTTACTAGGCAACTCACCAACTATACAGTATTAAGACCATCATTTTATCTCAGTATCACCACAGTGCAGATTATTATATTCAGCTCGTATCAGTGCGAAAGTGAACAGACGGCTCTCTCTCCTCGGACTCTCTATTATTAAATATGTAACATTATGAGACTAAAAGCGCTGTCAGCAGATCCTACATTGACTTTGTTTGAGAATCCATTTACATCACGGCACATCTGATTGCTACCAGCCAACATTTCCCCCAAGCTTTTCCTCAGTCCTCAAACGCCACGCACCGACTGCTTCTGTAATTAGTCTCCTCTGTAATCACGGACACACTCTCCATAGGCACGTATACAGAGCTGGTGGTAAAACGTTGGAAAAATGCAGGTTTGGAATTGGCAGTTGTAATTAAAAGAGACTCCCTTTTGACTTGTTTCGGCTCAAAAGACACGCTGCAGTACAATGAAATGCTTGTTTACACTGCAGGGGGGAGATAGGGGTGTAAATCATAGTTAAAGAGTCTATAGTCCATTCTTTTCTGATTTATAATGTTGCTTCCTCATCGCAAACAGACCTGGAGTTGGGTTTTGTTTCATTCACACATGTTTAACACACAAACCTGCACATTTAAGGTTGAGTTCTTCTCTTAAACAGAAAACAGGAACACTCAAACATGTGTGAATGAAACAAAACACAACTCCACGCATGTTTCTGAAGAGCCAACAACATTATAACATACAACATATTTTGCGTACTGTAGGACCTGTTATGTTGAATGTGTGTCTGTAATACACGCATCAAGAATTTCAGACTTCCGGTCATCTCGCAATTCATACTGGGAAAGGTCCTCCAAAAAAGTGAGCATCAAACCGCCATGTTTGTTTTCCCAGTGGGATGCATCTATTGTCAAAGTTGATCTTTTCAAGTCTTTTTTGAACCATATCACTTTTGTTTCTGGTTCTGATATTGTCATATTTTAGTTTTGGGATTCGACCATCGTAATTGTGTGATTGTTGGATCCTAACAGCAGAAAACAGGTTTCAGACGTTTGCAAACTCTTTAACTGTGCAAGGGAATCAGATGTGTGTGACTGCAAACCTCTGTTCAAACTGTTTCTCTTCCCAGGGGAATTGAAAAATAGAGAAAGGTGAAGGCGATGGACAGGATTGATCCACAGGAAGGACAAAAAAGGAAACCTTTGACTGACTAACTCATCCAGAGTTTGTATGTGGAGCAACAACAAAGCAAAATCCCAATCCGTCGCTCAACCTTGGTTACAAATTTTAAAAAAATAACGCCAAAGTGAAAGGCACCAGCTGTTCACCAAGAAACACCTTCCACTGCAAAGAGACCAAGACGTGATGTTGCTATAAAACCACAAGAACAAGAAAGTGCAGCTCAGTCTGTTTGTCTTCTGCACCTCTCCAATAACAAACTGGATTTTGTTTTGTCGTCGCTCCACATACAAAATGTTCATTGCAAACCTGGGATGATTTCTTAGTCGGTTGGTTCTTCCTGTGGATCAATCCTGCCCATCACCTTCACCTTTCACTATTTTTCAATTCCATTGGGAAGAGAAACAGTTTGAACAGAGGTTTGAGTCACACACATCTGATTCCCTTTTGCAGTTATGGAGTTCACAAACTTCTGAAGCCCGTTTTCCGCTGTTAGGATCCAACAACCACACAATTACGATGTCTGAATCCCAAAACTAAAATATGACAATATCAGAACCAGAAACAAAAGCGATATGGTTAAAAAAACTACAAAAGATCAACTTTGACAATAGACACATCCCACTGGAAAAACAAACATGGAGGTTTGATGCTCATTTTTTCGGAGGATCCTTCCCAGTATGCACTGCACGATAACTGGAAGTCTGAAATTCAGGATGGATTAGGGCAGTCTTGTGTGATGTCACATAGTACTTGAAAAGCAGTGGCCACTAGAGTCACTACACACTTACAGGTACAGACAATTTTGACCACAATATTTACCGAGGAGACAGAAAGTGAGGCGTTTTGAATCCACAGCAGTATCAGCAAATGTAATTCAAAGTGAACGTTACAACAGGAAGGAAAAGGATTTTAAACTATTGGTCTGATCCGTTTGTCTTTGCCCTGCTCTAAATCTACACACACGCTGCGTACTCACCCTGTCCCCCGGCCGCACCAGGGGCTCCTGTTTCGAGCCCAGTTTGTGGAGGAGGTTGTAGGCCACTTTCACACTCCGGGACCACAGTTTCCCTGCACACACAGAAACGTGTGAAAAGTGTGATCAGTGTTATTGTTACATCACATAAGGTCTGATGTGGAGCAAAACATAAATAATAATAACATTTTATTTATATAGCACTTTTCGAAACAACAGTTATGAAATGTTTTACAGTGCCAAAAATATACAGAAATACACAGACCCCCTCCCCATGATAAAACAAAAATACATTTAATTGAATAGATACAAAAAGACAGTCGATCAACCAAATGCTTGCCAGAATTAAAATGTGTTAAAGTTGGTTTTAAAGATGAGAGAGCAGCAGTGGACCTCAGTCTGCTGTACATCTCTACTTAAAAGCCACAGGCCACTCATTTGAGGACAGTGAAGTACAAATTTTAGCCAGAGAGAAAAATTGGTTTGAGAGGGGACACCATGTATCTCCTATTTAAAACTCCATCCTCAAACCGAAATCAAAACAAACAAGAGAACAACAGGTGTAGTCAGGTCAGGTCCAGAGGTGTGGAAGCTCCATTATGGCCATTAATTGTTATGGTAATTAGACTCCACACCCTGTACAGGTCTATAGACCAAACTAACACACAGAAACTGTAAACAAGTGTGTGTGTTAGTTTCAGTGTAGTTCACTCCTCCTGCAGATATAAGGAAGTGTCCACCAGCGTCTGACCAGAACTGAAGAAGCAGCTTGGATGAGCTGAGAAACGTCTTCAACCAAACTAACTTTTGTCCAGTCGACAAACTGAAGTTTTCCTAGCCATAGATTCCACCTGGACGACTGAGGGATTCTTCACACATCTCGTTTTAAAGGTAAAAAATAAATGATTAAATAAAATATGAACCTTCTTTAGTTGTGCAGCACAACCTTCTCTGTGACGTGTGTACCACAGCAGGGCGCCAAACAACCTATATTCAGTATAAATATGGAGAAGTATTTTGAATATAAGTATGGACTTGTGGTGTTGTGTTCTGATCATTTTCCAGAAGTACCACATACACAAATATTCTTCTTTTGTGTGTGTGTGTGTTTTGTTTTGTTTTTTGTTTTTTTCAACAAAACTGACAGACTCTCAGCTTTGGGAACTAGTGCACCACAGCAGAATGCTCCAAAGCTCCAAAGTCTTTATTTATTGCACTTCACGATGTCTTGTCTTGTCTACATGACGTTTTATGTTGGAAACTCTGGATCTTGATTTATAACAAGACTTTTTAATCAAATTTTTGTCAGTATGATCAATTTTTATTTAGTTTTAGTCAAAAATGACACTGACAAAAACTATGATGAACAAAATTAAAACTGCTTTTGAAGGAGGTTTGCACAAATGTTACAGCAGTGAACAAAGAAGCTACTTTTGCAACATACTCTCTGGAAAATACCATAAAGGTGCAGTGTGTAACTTTTCTGGTGGAGGGTTCGTCAAATGCTTTTCTCTATGGAAATGTTATGGCTTTGTCTGAAATGTCTTTAGTAGGGGTGGGTATTTGATATTTTAAATATATCAAGATATTTTTTAAACACGAAATAGATTTTGACCTATATATATCGATATAATGTGTCGTCGACACCGCGCTCCCCCGCCTCCCTGATTTTGCTCTTTGTGTCTCATTCACTCCTCACTGCCGCCGTAAATGCCCAAAGTTGGTGCCAGTGTAAAGCTTCTAGTACCACAAACCTTTTCCACACAGCACCTCTTCTGTTACAGAGAGAACACTCATATTCCACTGAGTCATGTTCTTTAGTCCAACAGAAGCTGAACCACATCAGCGCACAATAGCAAGATGTTTATGCAAATAAGTCATGTGGTTTTAAGTTTTGTTTCTGTAAAACATAAACAACTAAACTGCATTAAACACATTATAATGTCAAACAGGCTGATGTGGCTCTAGAGTCGTTATGGTTTATATGTTGTAAAGTTTAGTCATGTAAAGTTTATTTATGCAGAAGATTTTAATGAATAATCTGCTGCAGTGTCACTTGTACAATAGTGTTTGGAAATTAGTTCGATCTCTGCAGTGGATTGTGGGATACCTCAGAGCTGCAGTGGATTGTGGGATACCTCAGAGCTGCAGTGGATTGTGGGATACCTCAGAGCTGCAGTGGATTGTGGGAAACTTTAGAGCTGCAGTGGATTGTGGGATACCTCAGAGCTGCAGTGGATTGTGGGAAACCTCAGAGCTCCTTAAGGCTCATTAGGATCATGGATCTGTTAAAATAATGAACATCCCGAGCTTCCTCTGCTGAAGGAGCTCATGGGTATCGCACAGGTAACAGAGTTAAAGGAAAGAGCTTGAGTTGAGTTGTTTCATTTATGAATGAAAAGAAGGAAATATGTATTATTTCTTTTATTTTACAGTTAAATTATTATTTATGTAATTAGGGATTTTTTATAATCTTGAGTGTGGCAGAAGCACTTTGTTCCTACATGAATTGCTGACCTCTTGCATTTCAGTAAAAAAAAGATCTTGTGGAATTTGTCATATTTGTTTTTGCAGTAGTTTTGGGGGGTTATTTTACAGATTGTACTCATATTGACATATATATCGTATATCGAGATATAACTAAATATATCGAAATATATTTTTTACTCCATATCACCCAGCCCTATTTCACAGTATGGCATTAAACCTTTTTAATCTTCATGCAAACAAACCAGACTAAGTTACAGGTCAGATCTGTAGAGAGGTGACCCCGCTCACAGTCAGAATGTCTGTTTTTCTAGATATTTTTAAGGTATAAAACCACCTGTAGTTGAATAAATGTAACGTAGATCTGTTTAATGTCACACTGTGGAACATTCCAACCTGAACAATCACATCTCCATAGAAACAAACAGATGACGGACCCTCAACCACAAAAGTTACACAGTGCACCTTTAATATATCTCTATATTTTCTGCTTTGTCTTTTCTAAGTTACTACAGTATGTTGATATCATAAGTAGGACTCGGTATCATTCAGAAGTTGGCGGTAGGATACATACCTCGATACTTAGGCCACGATACGATTCGTATATCGATACAGTGCATTTTCTATTCGATGCAAAACATTTCAAATCGATTCGATACTGTTCAATAAAAAATAAAAGGCTAAATCATGGCTGTGATATTAAAAAGTCTTTGTTAAACCACTTCTTGTACAAAGTTCATATGAATCACAAACATTTTAATCCTCAAAAACAGTGAAAACGTCAAATTTGTAGCATAAATGAGTTTCCTTCCTCTGAACAAACAACATAATTGCATAAAATACACCAAAAATACTCTTGGTGATATATCGATACAGCAGCCCATGATACTGACCCTGTATCATCCCATTAAATGAAACGATATATCGATATTTTGATATTTTTGCACACCCCTAATCATAAAGTATTAGATGATTCAGATGGAGTGACGTGTCCAGATTCGTATCAAACCAATGTTCCACAGTGACCAGTCTACTTTTATTGATTTCCCTGAATTTGAAATCTCGAGCAATTTCAGGAAATCCTTCTCACGATTCCTCATATTATTTCCATAAATATCCATCTGAAAGCAGCCCGTCTGTGTTTAATATGATCAGATGTGTTTCAGAGCTCTGCGCCGGGCTCGCTTCATTATCACGACGAACAAAAGAATGTCTCTGTCCTAATTCAAAATGACAGGTGAAGTGCTGGAGCGAGGGGAGAGGCTCCATATTGTTTTAAATGACTTCTGCTGATGTTTGTCACAGATATGAAGGATGAAGGGAGGAGGGAGAGAGACAGAGAAATGATGGGGAGAGAGAGGGAGAGAGGAAAAGAAAGGAAAACAGAGACACAAATGATGAGATTTGGTGGAATGGTAGGGTAGTATTGAAAATCAAATACTAAATGAGATTAAAACTGAGCATTTGAGCAAGTACTGTATACTAAAAATGATCTACCGTAATGTCCAGACGATTGAGCACACCGAAAAATAAGCCGCATCAACTAAATTTTAACTACATTTTAAAATTGTACATATATAGACCACACCTGAATAGAAGCCGCAGGTGTCCACGTCTTCAAGAACGTTTTCAAGTTCAGGTCGTCTGCTTTTATCTAGGGGTGTCAAATTATCACATTAATTGTGATTAATTAATTACAGTCATATTTAGCGCGTTATGTTTTTTAATCGCGTTAATCTAATTTTTTATCTCTAACTTTACTGTTTCTGTATGAGAGTTGCCTTATTATAAAATCTGTTTTTTTGTGTTGTTGGGACAACACCACAAAAAAACCCACATTTATACATTTTTTTATTTCGGTAATTCCACTCATTGCCGGAAACCCACACAGAACGCGTGCAGTAAGAGCGATGTGAACGTCATGTTAACGTTGGCGGCGTCAGGCACAATGGACGAGGTGGAAGAGCCAGTAGAACAGAGGCAGCAGTGCACAGGTAAAAACACATTCATGTCTTGGAAATTCTTCTCCAGACGTGAAATATAAAAGAAAATAACAAATATAAAATCGCCTACAACTTAAATGTCAAACTGGAGCGACTGGCAATGGTGAAAACAACCTGCATAGGCTCATGAAATCTGCACTACTGTGACCTGCCACATGAGGGGACACGCACACAAACACACACACAAACACACACCTTCATCATCGTCATTAACCTGAGGACACGCAGACCACGTCTCCTTCCGTAGTTACTGCGCGAACACTGCTGTCCTCCTGTGCGTCGCGTGTGGACCGTGTTTTCTCGCGTACAATGTGTAGACCGCACTTCCTCCTGTGAGCCTCTAAACCAGAACTAACACCAAGACTAAAACCAAGACTAAAACCAGGACTAAACCAGGACTAAACCAGGACTAAACCAGTGATCTCATATATAAAGCATTTCTCTATCAATAATATTTTTAACATGGTTAAGGAAAGACTGGGCTTTTTATTGTCTTTAAGCAGACAAAACATCTTATGTTCAGATTTCCTCGTCTTTGCTACTTTACAGCAAACAACTGCTTATTCATGGAGACTTGGGCTCAACAGACAATTTGAAGAGAACAA